CCAAATTGGTTATAGCAGGGGGAAGGAGATACGGATTCTGGATACCTGCTTAGGAGGATGAAAATCAATTAAAACCAGACTTTTTCATTTTTGCCAACTTTTGATACAACAGGTGATGCTCATTTTCGTAAAATTAGATGACAGAGATCATTTCCACACATTTTAAAAAAAATTTTGTATAAATTGGATGAAAATTGCTCAAATAAGAGCAATTTTAGTGAAAAATTTTGTGACAGATTATCTCGTCACTTTGGGTTTCACGGTCATTTCTGAGGTGATGGGAAATCTCGTCACTCTGGATAATCAAGAGGTTAAAAAGAGAAATCAAATTATTGGAAGGGACATTCTGATGAAAAAAACAGTTTTAACATGATGTTCATCTTTAATTTCCAAGATAAGTCAGAGCAACTGAATCAATGTAAATCAAGACACATGATACGTAAAAAGATAATGAATATTCTTTTCAAGAAAGCCTCCCATCGGGACATGGTTTAACACATTTACTTTTGTGATTGCTATCTCAGATTAAAAATCTGACAGATCAGTTCAATAGTAATCAAATAATATCAACATGTCAGAAAAAGTTCACTTGAAGCTGCTATCGTAAGAAACCTAAGAAATGTCAAGGAAACCTCTTATCTGTGCATCCTTATTCCTTAATGAGAATTTTCTATTGACCTATGCTTTGTACTAGACTCAAATCCACAGACGTACCTCCTCTATGAAGCCAAAAGTCTTCAGCAAGTTTCTATACTATATGACTAAATATAATCCCTTAATCTAGCCTATTAACCAATCAGAATAGATTTATCAAAATTCAGCTGAATCAGTACTGCAGTCAAAAAATATTTACCTTCATAAGAAGCTGGCATTTATTTCATATTCAAATTCCCATGACAGTTCCTTCCTGGAGCATCTTATCAGTATTAAAACAGTTAAAATTGTCTGTCGTAGTCAGAGGTAGAAATTACTACTAGCCTCTGGCTCAGGGTAGAGTAGAAGGGAGAATAAGTGGCCTTACCTCTGGAATGTTATGACTTTAGCAGCCTAAATCTCTTGCCAAAAATATCATATAAACACAACTGAAAACTGTCAAAGTGTCAATGCTACTGTCAGTTTATATAGTAGTTACAGGCATGAGTGACACACTTTGTCCAAATAATCCAATGAGGCTTTTTCTTTACCCAAATCACTCTAGTGAACTTTTATTCCACTTGAAATTCCTTATGATACCCAGTATTGATATTCCATTGTTCTAGCATATGGGTGGACCCAAATCTCCACTAATTTGATCACTTTACCTTGTTAAGATTGTATCCCCATATGTCAGATTGACTGCTGCTTGCCCTTCTGTTTTGAGTAATAGCCGATGTAACTTGGAAGTTAACACTAATAGAATGATGAATTATATTACGCTATAGTAATTCAATGGATACAGTAAAACCTGTTAAGTGGAACACCTCTGTAATTGGAACACCTCTGTAAGTGAAACACCTTTTGAAGTGGAATGCTTTTCAAAGTCACGCAATCTATTGACTTATTGTTAAATAAACCTCTGCAGGTAGAACACCTCCAAAGTAGAATTATTTTTAGAGGTATCAAAAGCATTCTACTTAGCTTACACAGGTTTCACTGTATATGCACTTAAAGGAGTAGTCCACCCCAACTTCAACTCCCATGTAAGTAACTATAAGATGCAGCCATTTTCACCAATTCCACTAAGCTCTGATTCTCGTTACTCTACTCATTTTCGATATAGGCCTAGCACCACCAACCACTCACTTATATTAGTTACCACAAAATATTACATATCTGGGCTCTAATTTTTTCAATTTAAAGGGCTGAACTTGTTAATATACATAATGATAAAAATTTGTGAATAACTCTGATACTTGGTCTTATTTGAGTTGAGTATTCCTTTAAGTTTCCAACTGTGTCTGATCTCCAATCAATATATTTCCAATATTCTTGATTACATAGCTACCTTATAAATATTTACTCAGTGTTCAACCTTTCGATCAGTACAATATGATACACACTGAACATTTATAAATTCCTATATAATATTTGTGATGATGATATAAATTTTTGCATCACTATTCCTTGTTTAGGTCAGAGCCTAGCATCAGAGCCAGCTTTTGCCAAGGGGGGATTACTTTTTGTAATCCCAGGGGATTGTTCACTTTTTTCAATTTTGGTCCAAGAACTGTCAAAATCGCTTAAAAACTGGTGAAAGACATGAAATTGAGAGAAGAATACTTAGATCCATGAAGAACAGTTAAAACACCTTTTCAAGTGCCATTACCCATTAACCTAATATTAAATAAACAGGTGGAGCACCTCAAAGATGGAACATAATTTGAAATACCAGAGTGATAAGGAAGTGTTCATATGGATACTGGATAGGTACCCAGATTAGAGAGCTGTTCAGAATCAGATATACACAGGTTCTACTACTTACAAGAATACAATGAATCACAGTTATTGATTGATCTATTATTTGTCTGAATAACTAACTACAGCTTCACCCACCTGAGATTTTGAAAATATGATTGCACTCACCTGAAAATCCATTTGCACCCACTTGAAAATGAAAAATTGGCATATTTCGACCAATTTTGGTCGGAATTGTGAAAATGAGAATTTTGCACCCACCTGAGAAAAATCTTGGGGAGATAACTATATATGTACCTAGAAGGGGACGTGGCATTTTTCTTTTGAGATTTATACATTTGTTCTGTACAATTCTCTATTTCCCACAGGATTTTCTAATTGAGCCATTAATCTCCTCAAAATTAATCCCTATCCAGTATGCAACATTCAAACAGAGGTTTATTGCAAATTAATCAGCAATCCCGAAATGTACAAAAATGAAATTTCAGAATCAGAATACATGGTACATGAGGATATTTATTAAGGGTCAGTTCTGATATTCTAATTAGTATGAGTGTGACCTTAAAGGCACATTTTAACATACAGCCATGGTTCAAAATTTTTTTTTTCAGCCTTTAGAATAGATTTATTTCATGGTTTACACCTTCTCTGATGATTCTATTTTCGGACTATGCATGAAAATGAAAATGGCGCTTTTTTAGACTCATAAAAATTACCCTTTGTATTCGTTGGATTTCGCTTCTAAAAAGAGATCTTCATTTGTAATGGTTTGTTACAAGACTTTGCACGCAGGATACAATAAAGTGTATATGAGCATTTGTCCAGATAAATGGCTGTTTCAGTTTACAAAAGTGACAGATGGATGGAACAGTGAGCGATTTTATAACCATATGACACCCGATTTCCTGACCTGACTTCGTCGGTAGAAATTGAAATATAAGAGTTACCTGAAGATTAGGAGTCTTACTTATCCTCTAGATGTTAGAACACACATTTCAATGAAACCCTATCACCTTTGTTGCGTCAACCATAGAGCATTTAGCACAATATCCAAGAGGTAAAATATGGACCGTAAAAATGAATAATTTCCTTGTAAGTTCCGGAAGTTTCACACGTTCAAAACAATTAATTACCGAACATTTGTGGAAATTAAATGTTTGTTCGTTGATTTTATAATTTACACGCGTGTGTATTCTTCTATACTTTGGTCTAAATTATAAAGCATCACAAAGAGGTCCTACTGTATAAATAGACTAATGCAGCAGATGAAACATTCATACTTTCTGCGCAGCATTTCATTAAGACCTGTTAAGACTTGTCTGCAAACGACGCAAAACATTCTTTCCTAATATTCTAATTATTTTCATATCAGACATGGTTGGATGACATGTCACAAAATTAAAGTTCAAGGTCAATACATTATTTTGTGAAAAGGGGCAATGGCTTCCCAGAAGTAAACACGGACCTCTGCCAGATAAGCTCCTCTGTTTCTAGGCTCAATAAATATACTCAAGGACAAGACACGCCATCTTCGGAAAATTTATTTTTCCTTGATTTTGGAGTCAGTTTATCAATAAATATCACATGCCATACCTCAAACGATGCGCACTGTTGTTAGCTTCAACTCCAATCACTAAAGCCAAACATCCAAGGAAGCGTCTGTTGATAAAAGCATAAAATAAGCGAGCGTATATTTAATGGAGCACTTCGGCTATCTCCGTTGCGCAAATGATTATTCCCGAAGTCAAATGCCTTTTCTGAGAATGTGACGCCACTCCGGATGACGTCACATCAGAGATTACCGAGAAGTCCCATGACGTTTCTTTAAACTCCCATAGAAACAATAACAATGGTTTATTAGGCTACGCGATTCTTTACTTTCATTGGCTGTTTGTTGCGATGTGACGTAATTTGAGAGACGAGCAACATCGGACACTGCCGGAAATTACCGAAGTGCTCCATTATCTTTACGCTCTAAAATTTGAAATAAATGTCCCGTAAAAAGTTGAATTACAGCGTCAATAATGGATATCATGCAACAATTGAAACTAATACATAAAGAAGAGATTACAGGGTAAATATTGATCAATCGATGTCTGACAGATGGAAAAAATAAAGGTCAGTACGAGGGTCATATTTTTGGGTGGTCATTGTTTTGATGTGCCATTTTTGGCTCGTGTCTCATCTTCCCATTTATCCTTTGAGCCTACTACCAATAGGGGCTGGATCTGGCTCCGGATCTGTGGAAGTAAACACGAGGAAATCAGGTTTACACAGTCTGCCATGTTTGTTTTTTAAAAATCTCTAGATCCGAGATTGCCCAGGAATTTTGCTTATCATTTTCTTTGAGCCATGTTTCTGTTATTCCAATAAGTCAATTTGATTATAACTCTTTGGTTGAAATAGCCACAGGACAAAGTAACATCATATATCAACGTTTGACGGAGGCCACCTTATGACATGGGCATATATTTTCAGGGACAAGCGACATGTCACTGGCACTGGCGAAAACAAACCATATCCAATATCCAGTAACAACGTTTGAATAAAATCTTAAAATTTCGTACATCTAAGGACTGCCTGATGTAAATCAGAAAATGACCAAGATCTGAGACAGTCACAGTGGAGTGACCCTGAAAAAAACATGTCTGCAGATTTTGCATGATGAAAAAGAGTGTCCTACAACAACGTACAAGCGTTAATCTAAAAAATATGAAAATAAAATTGAACTCTACTTACCTATTTATGATTTAATTGTGCAATATATGAAGCCGAACGGGTATTGATGGAGAAAACACGAATAAACGGTAGAACGCTGGCAATATTTCTCTTCAAAATGTCTGTTCGTCTAACCGATGACGTCAACATCCGGGATCCTGCATAAAATTTTGGAAAAAATATTATCTGTAGTATTTCTCAAATAACTGAATACTCAAAGTGGAAACAATGAATCCCATGCAGATGGACGATGCAGCACATATTAGGAATGTAAGAAAACTATGTTTCATTTCATGTCTCTCATAATATCGTCTATAAGAGGTCAAATTTTACACATGTTCTCCATGGTGGGCGATAATAGGTACACTAGGGTACTGAGGAAAACACCCACAGTTGTTCTCTGGGTCGTAAGCGTGTGTGGGATGTTGGAAAGACATAAGTCTCCATGTACATGTAGTCCTACACAGACACATTACATCAGACCCCGTATAAGCCCCGTGTAAGAGGCTCGTTGAGTCAACAGGGCCTGAACAATTTTGTACGAGCGCCTTGTTATGAGTCCCGCAATTGCATGTTGAATAACATAGATATGTGAAGCATAATGTGTAAACTTCTTCCTTTTTTGTGCTGTAAGAGAGAGTCCGATAATGGGCCTCGTACTAGCTCGTACAGGCCTCGAAATTACGAGGCTCGTACATGCTCGTACGGGCCTCGAAAACATTACGAGCACTGTTCGAGCTCGTACAGCACCTCAAACAAGCTCGGAATAAGGATCGTGCTCCTTTTTGCCCATAATGACTCGCAATTCTCGATGCTCGTACGAGCTCGTACAGGGCCCGATGTAATTTGCATGTGTACTGTAGATTAGGAAAACACCCACAGGTACTCTCTTGGTAGTAAGCGTATGGGAGATGTTGCAAAGGGGAACAGATACTGTAAGTCTCTACCACACGCTTACTACTAGGTACGCTTTGGTTTTGATCAACTTTGCTTTTGAAAAGAGAGCTTCGTCTTCACTCTTTCAGCGAGTCAATCAGACTTAATCCTCGAAATATGGACGATTCATGACAACGATGGTCATTTCCTCTGATGTCACAGCATAGAGTCTGTTAAACCATGGGCATTCAATAGACTTCTAAGGCAAGCAGTTGAACCTGAAAAATAAGAAATCTATAGACTATTGTGCCATAATATGTAGTAAAATATATTCATATTGCACATGAATGACATTTGTATGTTTCAGATTATTTAGTGTTTAGTGCAATAAGCCTGTGCCCTCTTGTAATTTGAGGTTTATCTGCCATGTTATTTTTTTCTATATATTATTGCACAATAGTCTTTAGATTTCTTATTTTTCAGGCTCAACTGCTTGCCTTTGAAGCATTTAGCACAAGATTCTTCCAGCTTGCTCACTGGTTCTAAAAAGTCAGTGCAATAGGTTTGAATTGATTGGTGACAAGGGCTGTCATGGCACCAGTCATGGGGACAGGGCTGCTTAATTACTAGGTAGAGGGTAGTTTATAACTAGACTCTGCGCACAGGGTTACTACTGTAGGAGCCCTCCACCAAACTTCGACATTCACTGTATGGGCCGTTTGGATTACTTGGTCATAGCTGTAAGATCAATCTACGCAGTCCGAAAATCTCCAATAGGACAGATCTATTCTTATCCAAGATGTCTAAACCCGAAAATTTGAATTATCAACCATGGTTGAAATAACCCCATGGTTGAAGTAGCCCCACAATGAAGTAACCCCACAATGAATTAACCCCAGTCAACTGCCTCATCCTTAAGTTGCATTACATTACTACAATCTTGTTGGAATCAAAACCTTACATATGTATGTCGTATTCAGAGTAATTGATTACTACTCTGGGTCCCAGGGTTTCTTGAATGTTGTAAAAAACTTTGTTTTTTCAGATGCGTGATTTCCTAACAGTTTATAACAGGATGACGGAAAACTGCTTCACCAAATGTGTGTATGACATGAACCACAGATTCCTTGCCACAGATGAGGTAAATTTTTCATTAATTTAAGGTAGTTAAGCACTTTTACAAATAAAGCTGAAAACAAAAAATTGGACAATGTCATTTCAATGTTTTGATCACAATATTTTGATTTTTGATTATTCTATTCACTATTCTACTAGAATAAGTACTTGTAATCTGCAAAATCTGAAAATACTATTTGAAGAGTTGTACGAGGGTTGATCCAAAAGTTGTTAATTATTGGTAATTAGAATCATGAAAATCACAAATAAATTCTTATCATGCAGCTCTATCTTAGCTCTACCTAAGCTCGTGACAGAAGATGTTTCATCACAAAATAAATAATTAACCCTAGGTAAATACTGAAAGCTGGAAAATACTCTGGCTTCAAATCTGGTGTAGTAGCTGAGAGTCAAGAGCTAAAACTGGCAACTGTTTTTGCTGTTCATTTGATGCTGCTTTAATTTGGCAAAATAATACCAACTCTTATTTACAGATTTATATTATCCATAAACATGCAATTTATTTTGCATTACATCTGGTGTTTGAAAAGATGGCTGAGTGATCCTGTGAACAGATGAAAACAGTAAAAACTTGCTATTGTGGAAAATAATGTCCCACTTGGTGATCTACTGAATGGGTAACAGAACTTTGGAAGGGTTCTGCCCGAAGAAGTGTATATTAATGACTCATTTTCATGACCCACCACATATATATTTCCATCTTCAGGCTGGCTGTGTAGAGCGATGCAGTTCAAAACATGTCAACACAAATCACAAAATCATGTCAGAATTCGTCATATATCAACAGAAGAAAAATGAGGCTTCAGTGGCAGAAGCGGAAAAACAACAACAAAAAATAGAACAAGAACTAGCACAACAAAAAGCTATGGAAACTCAAAGTGCAAACATGGATGCTTTGTCTAGTGAATCAACTAATACCGCAGAAAGGACCAGTGAAACAAATTCTAATGCAACATCTTCTAACTCATAGCTACTGGAATGGATGAAGTTAATATCACATATACATGTATAGAGCTTGTCAGCTCAATGTTTCTAGGATATGACAAGGAGATCTATAGCTACTGCTCATTGACTAAATTTCTTTGATTTGGGCATGTTGTAAGATCATCACCAGTGCCATCTATAATCAGGGATTAACATACTGGTACATACTTTATTTATATCAGTATATAGACAAAGGTTCATGAGATTACAAAGTTATCTACTGTACTTCTATTTAATTTGGTGACCCTTTTAATTTGGCAGATCCACCAAATTAAGTCGCTGCCAAATTCTTTGGTAATTTTAGTACCATGTAAATTAGTACCATTAATCATGTTAATACATTGTAATAATGCAAGTCCGCCAAATTAAAGAGAGAATCAGATATAGCAAGCAGGCTAAACAAAAAATTGTTTCAATTTTAGAATATTTTTGGCTCATGTCATTCCTTGCCATGTCTATTTTCTAAAAATCACAAAAGTGCATACTTTATTCCAGGAAAACTAAAGATTTTTACATTAATGTATTATTTTTCAATTAGAATGTTTCACTCATTTTTGCACTTTGAATCATTAATAACTTCACCAATTTATAACACATTGTGAATCTTTTGGGAGATATTGTATTTGATATTGTAAGGAATAGATTGGTAGGTCAATTATACATGTTGCTTGTAATTTTGTCACCCTCTACAGATCAGATTCTACCTTTAAGTAGCCGCTAAATGTTCAAAACAGCAAATCTGCCAAAATAAGAAGTACCAAATTAAGTAGAAGTATAGTATTTAGCTGAATAATATCCAAGCTACAAATTCAGGACATTATACACTATTTTCAAAATGAGTGGTGGAAAAATGTGATCTTAATTTGTGATATTTTCATGAAAGCGACTAGTTTTATCTAAACTTAGTGGTGCAACATATAAGAGAATGGTGCAGTGATCTCCCCAGCATTAAAGCAAGTGGGTGCAGCACCCACCTTAGATTTTAAAAACAGGCTTGCACCGACCTGAAAATTCATTTGCACCCACTTGAAAATGAGAAAAATCATGAAAAATGGGAATGTTTTGATCAATTTTTGTCTGAATTGTGAAAATGACAATTTTGCAAAAAAAATCCTTTGGAGAAATTAATCTTAATGAAGAAAACTGACATTGGTTCCTTAGTAATATTGTTTGAGCAAAAGAGGCTTTTCAGTATTTGTGTTCAATATAGTAAAAAATCATAATTACATGTACAGTAATCAGGGGCATAGCCAGCTTTCAGTCGGGGGTGGGGGGGGGTGATGGGTGCCATCACACAACACCCCCCCCCCCTATAACTAATAAAACGATGAGATAGGAGAAGATTTATGCCACAATCGCGCCCCCCTGACTGAAAGCTTGCTACGCCCCTGTTCTTTCTCATGTTTCTATTTTAATTGGTTATGGGTGGTGCATCACATCCCATGCCATCGCACCCCCTGGCTATGCCTATGGTAATGTTCTGCTATTATGCTAAGCATGAATGTGAAACCAACTAAAAATGCATGTGTTAGACGTGTTAGCGTGCCTCAATTCATTCTGGCAACCCCTCACATACCCCACCTGTATCTGTATGTGAAGAAGATTGGGGGAGGGGTCTAGAGATTTGATGCATGGCAATCCGTGCATTACTCAGGAAGCTAGCCCATTGCCTATGTAATGCCATTATTGACAATTTATTCCACAAATTAAGACTTGTTGTGCCTTAATTTATTCCATACTGTGTTAAAATTAGAAATAATTTTGAAACAAATAAATGAAAATTATGATAATCTTGTCACTATTAAATTATTTTGTGTGCAATAGATATTGTAGGGATGTGGAGAAGCATCTACCAGATGTTATGGAGCTTAAAGGGCTTGATACACTTGATAGATAATACAATTTAACATACAAAGTTAGCCTTCAAATAGAAGTATTTCCATTCATCTAAATTGTAATGAATCTAGGATATTGAATCTGAAATACCTGTACATTATCTAATCCAGAAACTGTTTCACTGTAATATTGTATTAGATTTTACAAGTTTCACATTCAGTTTTCTTTTGGAAGTATATTTCTCTGGAAAACTTTCCTTTATTTTAGATGAATAACATGTGAAACATATTTAACTTTGAATGGCCTTACTGAGCCATATATTTTAATTGATTTAACTGCCATCTATAATTGTGTTTTGAACATAATATTGACAAAGTATTCCTTCATAAATGAGGGATGTTCCACAAGATTTTTTGTATGGTTAAAATAAAAAAATATATAAAAATATTTTCCTCATTTTATTTTTATTATTTATTTATATTAATCTTGTGTTCATTGAGACATGAAAATAGCGCATGACATCTTTAGATTTCAAACAGTTCAAGCTCATGTTTATCCAAAACAATGCATTTCATAGTTCACACAATTTGTCAATCAGGATTTACATATGAGACGTTATCCCTTAAAAGTAACACATACACTGAAAATAACGCACTTGCCATCATATAAACATATCCGCTTTAATAATTTAAAAGGCTTGTCTCAATCCCCAGAAAGTGTTCATTTGGGACTACCATGTTATGAACTCCCCTATTACAAAAAAATCTACTAGAATATTTTGCAAAGAAATTAGAATTATATTTAAAATGTAGATACATGCCCTCAGTGCCCTGTGAGAATAATCTCAAAAATCAATTAGGTTGATGGGTCATGATCATGGACCTGATTTTATTTGTTACCTAGGATTTTATTAATTCCAAAAGACCTGTTGTTTGAACATCCGGGACTTTAGTGATTTGAACTGCCGCTTGGTGGCCTTCTTTTGTGCGGGCGATTTGGATTGCTCTTAAATTTTTTAATCAAGACAGTGAAAAAGGACTCAAACCGAGATGAAAATGTAATATTTTGTTAAACGATCACATAGTGCATCTACCAAATGTAAAGGAAAACGCTGATCTTCAGTATTTTGAAAGAAATTCGGATTTGAAATTGGGTGAGTAAAATTTTCGACCCCGGCAAAACAAAGTTTGTTTATTTTGCATTTTTTAATATTTTACAGTTGTATTTACGTAAAATTATTGCATATTTTCTTGTTGAGAATATCATATACGTATTCCGATTTGATGTATTTCTAGTTATAACCCTCAAAATGGACACAATTACAACAGAAATCGAGTTTAGTTGTTGAAAAATTATTTACTCTATTATCGCCCATTTATTCCTCAAACTGTAACATTTTGAATATTAGAATGTTCACTAGAGATCAAAATACTTGTATTATGATCCCATATTGACATAAAATGTTTCAACATAATGGAAACTTGACTGTCAAGAAATTATAAAATCAAATTCAAAATGTCTGCCAAGTTGGAATGATCTGTGGTTGGAACATTTGACACTTTGTGGGGGAGGGGGCAGTTTAAGACAATGTTGACAGTCATTTTTTTATGGATGGATTTTGAAATGCCAGATCAGTTTCTGCAATAAATTCATGTTAAGCAGTATTGGAAACTGAACACGGAGTCAAGCAGAAATATCTTATCCAATGACGAGCTTGTCATCTTCAGATTTTAGGCACCCAGGGGTCTGTTACTAAAAAAATATTACAGCAATGACAAGTATCATTTTTTTTTTATTACCAATGCAGATATGTAAAAATCATGGAAATCAGAAGAAAAATCATGAAATACAATTTATCTTTTAAAAAAATTACTTTGCATCGTTTAAACTCGCCTTTTATGGATATTTGTCCACAAGCCCATTTGGCTTTGAAGGTTTCTTCTTTCAATCACTATAATATTTCTTATCAATCAGCTATTTCTTACTTGAAGGCATCATGAGGAGCCCAAGACAAGCTGCAAAGACAAGTGCTGGGAAGTCAAGGCCACCAAGAAATGGAATTAAAGAAGGTCACATATTTACTTGCATCCATTTTTCTTGTAAAGTGTCACCCTTAGATCATGCATCATCAAAGTAACTTTATTGGCATTTTGTTCAAATATGGACTTTATATCAAATAATATATGAATGACCGTGTAGTGTTTAACCAATCAGCTGATTTATTTGTATGACATACATCAAGATTGCAGTATTTATTTTCTATTTTAAGAGTTTAGCCTTAATTCTTTATAAATGGCAGTAAAACATAAAAACCCCCATTATGATTATTCATGATTTTTCATGTAACATATTTTTTCAGAGAGGACTTCAAAAAGGAAGCCTCGAGATGAGAAGACTGAATCTTCAGATGAAGAGAGTCCCCCTCCGACCCGTCGTAGGAGCACCAGAGGGACCCCTAACAATAAACCTCAAGACAAGCACCTCCCGAAGAAGAGAAAGGGTAAAGTTTGCTCTAACATGATATTCAATTTATAATTTTGATTCCCATTTGTCCAAAATTATAAGATTTTGAAATTGATAGGTCATGAAAATTGAGATTTTTTGTTAACATTTATTTAGTTTTAAAATAACCTATTACAATCCAAGGAATATACATGCACATGTATTTTAATTAGGCTATATCAATTCATAATCCGAGTTGAAAATTCAAACATGCCACCCTGTAAAACTTCTTAGATTTGATTAAGTGCTTCGTTGAGAAAAATCAAGGGAGATCACTGAACAGTTTCTAATCCCAGAAACTTTAATAAATGTAATGGATGTTACAAATGTTACCTTCAATCAGCTGGCGTTGATGAATAAATGTTACATATTTAACTTTGAATGGCCTTACTGCTTCAATACTAATTTTATGCAATTATACATGTTTATTACAGTTGAAGATTCCACCAAAACTAAACCAACATCTTCACAGAAAAAGAAACAAGAATCGGAATCTGATTCTGATGAAAGTGAGGCTATGGTATCCGCAAGAGGCCCTCGACAGAAAGTCACAAAAAAGGTCAGAAATCTGAAGAAATTGCAAAGAGATTCCTCTTCTGATTCTGATACCATTGAAGAGGTAGAACCATCAAAATTGAACAATTCAAAGGCTAAAAAAGTTCCCAGGGAGCTACAGAACCTCGTGAATGACCCTGTGAAATCCCTATATGATAAACCAACACGTCGTAGTAGTGGCAGACACGCGTCTAAAGATGACCAATCAAAAAGTGTTAAATCAAGCACTGAAAAATCAATGAGAAAATCAAAAAGTAAAAACTACAAGGATGATGAATCTGACTCTTCAGTGGAGGAGGTAGAGTCTTCAGATGACGATGATGAAGTTTTGATAGTGACACCAAAAAAGAAAACTCCCATTAGGTCCAGTAGTAGAAACAAGTCTCGGAATGAATCAATCATAGAATGTGATGACTCGTCTGATGAAGATGATGAGGTATGTCATTTTTAAATTGATTTTTTATCATTATGAGCACCCCTCCCCCATCACCACCAGATGTGGGATGTGTGTATTGAGGAGGGGGATCAAAAGTGTAGCTAGACTAGCAAAGTTCATTATTCATAAGTGCATATTCGATATTAAAACATGTAATTTACTGTGAAAACAAAAAAAAGAAAATGAAAAAGGCTGGACTTTTCAACATTTGCACGTTTGACATCAATATATCAATATGATACAGTGAATCCTAGAATAACTCATTGTATTTTATACTGGTTTCATCTCCTTCGTGTATTTCACCATTTATTTTAATTCTATGTTATTTCCCATATTAACATATACAAACTCTGTCATTTATATTAATTTCATGTTGTTTTACAGGATGAGAGTGACAGTGAAGAAGAGGCCAGAGAAGAAATGTTAGTGAATATGAGTTCACAGATTGGCAACCTGCGCAAGTTGTTAAATACAAAAGTAAGTATTTGTAAACATGGTGTTGCATGGGTCCCCCACAAATTCTCCATATTCAAATGATGTAGTTCAGCATCCTGTTAATTCAAAACCCAGATTTGCCTCTAGTAATTCAATGAATTTACAAAAAGCCTTACATTTTACCAAAAAAATTCTAATTCCTAAAATGTTGCAAAAAACCTGATGGATGCAGTCAAAATGGCTGTTCAAGGATTTGACATTGGTATACGTTATAATCATTCATTTCATTCCATTTTTTAATAAAAGAATGAGCAATAGAGATAATACAAAAACTCACAAATTATGTAATATTGTAAAGCAGTTACACTAAAATTTTCTTAATATTACAGGAAGCAGAGATAAGAAGACTAAAGAATGAACTAAAAGAAAAGGTAATATTTGTAATTCTTTTAAAAGTAGCTTCAGGTTTAATTTAACTACACTTTACTTCACAATTGTTATGTTTCTATTACCAAATGCTTAATTCCACATGTTCCCCATAACACAATTAAAGGAGAGGAAACTGCAGAATTCAAAGATGAACCTATCTCTTTTTAAAGCTGAACCAAGAGAGATTTGGAGATATTTATCTTTTAAATAATGGCAGGTGGTGACATTTTGCATGTTAATACCTTGTTGTTAAATTTACTAATTAAATACAATATATACATGTTACAGAATGAGTCACTTGAGGGCATGGAAGAAACCATGTTAAAGAATATGATGCTGGAATCTGAGGTGCAGAAGCTTCAATTTACTCACCATATGAAGAAGGCAACTACTCGGGACACTGGAGTCGGAACATCAGGTATACATATAAACGACCAAGCATTTCATTAAAAGGTTGCTTTAGTGACTTGGCCACCTTGATAAGCAAAATCCATTTGTTGATTTTCCCAGATACATGTAAACATCTGTTTTTGCTGATCATTATATAAACAAAAGGGACAATGTCTAGAGAATTCAGGGTTAAACAAATCAGAGTATTGGTTTGTACTTGAGTTACTCTTAAATGCATTAGTGGGAAAAAGAATTATTTTCCATGGGAGTCCTTTTATCAGAGTATTGATGTGTACTTAAGCTTGTCTTAATTGAGAGGGTGAAATTATTATCAACGGAGGTCATGTTGTCTTTTCACGTTTTATGTTATTCCATCTTAGATGCTGATTTTCCAACTGCCATGCCCCCTCCACCAAGCATCATGTTAAAGCCAACAAGAACGCAACAAGAGATAGAGGCTGACAAGAAGAGACAGGCTGAAGTTGATAGAGTCACTGCTGAGAGGGCAGAACTTGCCAAGAAGGCTAATGTCATAAGCATAACTGCACAGCCTATGCACAGGCCCAATATACTGTCTAACACTCTGGGTATGTATTTTCTCAGTTCGGTGCACTACTTCTCATACATTTATTCTTTACTAGTAAACAGGTTAGAATTTCACTGTTTGATCACTATCTATTTGCCAAAAACTGGTCAAAATCTTAAAATTCAAATTTCTCAATTATTTATTTTTGACAAAAATTTATTAAAATACTACTTTTTTGAATTTTTTTTATCAGATACCCAAGCAAACCTTGAGGTTTACCAAAGACCTTGATTTAGGAACTATAAAGTTACAAAAAGCATCTATTATAATGACCTGTCATTTAACTTTTTCATCTCAGTGTGTATATTAATTAATTTGAAATTGACTTTTGTTAAAAGCAGGTGTGACCAGATACACATATACCACCCAACCAAATCCTCAAATCTACCCGAGACCCGCAGCTTCATCTACCACAACATTGGGTTACCAAGGTAACCAGTATAGCAACCCACAAAGCCAAGCACAGACGCAGTCTATGATTGATAATATCATGAAGGAGTTGTACCCAGGGGGCGCCACTGTTGCACAACCAAACAATCTCACCCTGGATGGCTCTGCGGTGACAGCCCAGTCAACAGGTATTTAATTTCATGTAAAAAACTATTTGAATATAATGTCGATAAAAGAAATTAAACAAGACTTGCAATCTATCTATGACCCCATTGACCCAGTGATCTCCCCAGCATCAAAGCAAGTGGGCGCAGCACCCACCTGAGATTTTAAAAAATAGGCTTGCATCCACCAGAAAATTCATTTGCACCCACTTCAAAATAAGAAAAATCATGAAAAATTTGCATATTTTGACCAATTTTGGTCTAAATTGCGAAAAAAAGAATTTTGCACCCACTTGAGGAAAAATCCTGTGGAGATCACTGTGTCCTCTGGTCAGTTCACTCAAGGACTATTTAATCACAATTTACAGAGTAAACCATTACATAACCATATAAAATAGAAAGACTGATGCATTTGGAGTTGCTTTGAATAAAACATGTGAGACTTGTTTTGTTTTTCAGTCAAACCAACACCTGGTCCAACACCTGTACCAAAGGTTACGAAACCAATCCCTAAGAAAGCAGCGAATGATGATGATGATTGTGTCGATATCACTGATGATGTCATTGATAAGGAAATCGAGGATGAAATGACGAGTACATCTGGAGAGGAATCAGATTCTGATGATGAGGATACTGATGAGTCTGATGAGGATGAAAGCAATGAATCTGAAGAGGAGGACTCTGAAGAAGATGAAGGTATTGTTACATTTGCAGTGGACCTGCCTTTTAGCGTACTGTATTCTCTCTAATGAGTGCACAGTCCCAATGAGCGCATATGTGACTTTTATGATGAATATGATCTCAAGAAATATCTAAGTTTAAAACATTTTTTTGATTATTTACAGTTCTAACAAGATATTGATTTATCTGATTTATCGAAGAGAATCTCACAATATCGCAGTTTCACAAAGATCGGTGCTATATAGCCTTCATCCTATATTCTGGGTGGATGGGCAAGTGCAACATAAATCTCGTCATTAAAATTCCAAGAAAAACACTTCAACCCGATCAATTTGAAAGTTTTACAAATGCAAGAGCAGGCTAGTGCCAAGAATTGATTAGATTTTGGGCATGCTGGGTTAATTACATAGCAGCCATTTTTGTTATCCCATCGAACGAAGTTCGTAGGGATATAGGGAACGCGTCCGTCCGTCCGTCCGTCCGTCCGTCCGGGCAATAACTCAAATACCGTTGGACCGATTTAGTTCATATTTTGTACACATATACCCTATGGGGATAGAAGTTCTGCTCGATTTTCCGATTTTTGCCAATTTTCAAAATGGCCGCTCATTTCAAAATGGCGGCCATTTTAGTGGCGATTTTACAGTAATTTAGGTGCAATATGTAAAACTGTAATAGCAATATGTTTTAAATGTAAAAAAATTATAAAGGACATTAATAATGCTACAAATGTAGATATTAAAGAAGCACATGGCAGCCATCTTGAAAAATGGCGGCCTTTACGCATCATTTTACGATTTTGGCTGTAACTCAAAAAATAGTGGAGCGATTTTGTTCATATTTGGTATGTGAATACTATAAGCATTGCACACTGTCTAAAGACACTTTTGGTAGAAGGCGGCCATTTTTCAAAATGGCCGCCATTTTAACGCATTTTACTATAACTTGAAAAGTAGTGGAGCGATTTTGTTCATATTTGGTATGTGAATACTATAAGCATGGCACACTGTCCTATGACACTTTTGGAAGAAGGTGGCCATTTTGAAATTTTTTTAAAAAATGGCCGCCATTTTAACGTATTTTACTATAACTCGAAAAGTAGTGGAGCGATTTTGTTCATATTTGGTATGTGAATACTATAAACATGGCACACTGTCTATTTCTAATGACGCTTTTGGTAGAAGGTGGCCATTTTGAAAAATGGCCACCATTTTAACGTATTTTACTATAACTCGAAAAGTAGTGGAGCGATTTTGTTCATATTTGATATGTGAATACTTTAAGCATGGCACATTGTCTAATAAAACTTTGGGGAGTAGTCGGCCATTTTTAAAAATGGCCACCATTTTTATGTGTGTTATTTTACAAGTACGTGTGCAATTTTTCAAAAATTTTAGAGGTGGCTACTTAAAAGCATATTATTTCTTCTGATGACAACTTGGCTAGTGAGCAACCATTTTGAAAATGGTGGCCTTTCTGGTGTGTTGTTTTATGATATTTGCGCTCGTTTGTAAAAATGCCAGCCATTTCTGTTTGATGGGATTCGCTACGCTTTGGCGTTGCCGTTGTTCTGGTTCATCATTTATCATTGTGTGTCTCGTTGAAAAATTTCAGATGAATCTGAGGATGAAGAAGATAATGATGAATCTCCAGATGAAGAAAAAGATGAAGACAACAACAAATCAAAATCAACAAAGAACAAGAAAACACCTGCAGATGATATCATAGCAATATCAGATGATGATGATGAAAAACCAAAGAGTCGTAAAAAACTGAACATGGACATTGATGTTGCTAAGTCTCCAGAGAGGAGAACTTCGCGACGTGGAATGTCACAATCAGAATCTGAAAAATCACTAAGTAAAGCACCATCTACAAAACAAGGACAATCAAAAACTGACAAATCCAAAAATCAAACACCAAGAAAAACTAGGACTAAAGCTCAGTCAGATACTGAATCTGAAGCTAGTTCAAACATCAAAACTGAGTCAGAATCTAAAGGAAAAACAGACACTAAAGATAAAAAGCTGTCAAGGTCTAAGGATAAACCAAATAAGGAAGCAGATGCTAAAGATAAAAAAGGCAGTAAAGAGGACTCTAAAGTTGAGGCTAAGCCACCCACCAGAAGATCTTTGAGAGGAGAGGCTCCTGAGATAAAGGAGAGTGAAAAAAGTACAAGGTCAACAAGGTCAAAGGTATGTAATATTTATTGTGAATATTTGTGGTTTAGAAGAAGTGACTCATTGTTATAGTCTCCTTTGTGGACGCTGGTCAGTGTTGGTGGTTGACATTCAACATTCGGCATCTATAACAAATGGCAGGTAGTGACATTTTGCATCTTAATGCCTTGTTGAAAAGTAAAGTCTAATTTTCATTCTTTTTGCTTTGATTAAAAAATTGAGTTGTATCTTTAAAAATGCAAAATAATTAATGCTGTTATGTATTTGGTTCAACAGTTTGATATAAAAGACTCTAAAGCAAACACCAAAGACTTGAGTGACAGTGATAAAGAAAAAAGAAAATCAAAGAAACAAACCAGGGTAACCAAGAAAAAGGAATCATCATCTGAAAGTGAAGAAGATGAAAAAGAAGATGCTCCCATTAAAAAGAAAACTACAGGCACCAAAAGCAAAGATTTGGCATCAGATAGCGACGATGATGAAAGTGAGGAAAACTCGACAACCACAAAGCGTGTCACACGACGTGGAAGAAAGAATGATGCTGTTAAGGCAAAAGCAACCAAGGAAAAGACAAAGAGTGCCAAAGATGACTCAGAAGAAGATATGGAAGAAGATGGGAGTTCCCAAAGGCCAACACGTGCCAGTAAAAGGAAGTTCAAATCCGATGAAGGTATTTATAAATTAAGTACTTTTTTCGGTGATACGATATTTGGTGACAGGAGAATCACCTTATAATTCCAAATTAAATACTTGAAAAGATATCAGAGATGGTGATCAGTAATTGAAAACATTTATTCAACCTCACATCTTAATACTGCATCCAGAGTGATTTGTCCATGAATGAAGCGAATGGCTGGCACTCTCTCATGGGAATTTGACAATTACAAAATACCGATATCCAGTTCAGTTTAAATTACCACAAAGTGTGCCACATGAGGTTGAAAGTGAGATATTTTCAAGGAAAGATTAGAAGAATATAACAATAATACATTTGAAAACCATTACTGTGACGTGTGTTTTGTTTTTTAGAAAAAGCTGGTCCAGTGAAGAAGTCCAAGAAGGGCAAAGGCAACCAAGATAGCAGTGAAGATGAAGAGGAAGAAACAGGAAAAAGCAAAAAGGGGAAAAAGCAAACAAAGAAAACCAAAAAGAAAGGTTAGACATTCATTTAATATACATATTGAACTAAAAAAGACCTGAATAAAGGCAATTGCTGAGAAATTATTTATCTTAGTCAAACACTTTTTCATACGCACCTAATGCAAAATATTTCGGGGAAGTGTAAGAAAGGCTAGGCAAAAAGGATGATATAGAGTCACGTAAAACTGATGTTTAATCCCTCCAAGTAAATAAGAAATATTGTGTCATTTCAGTAAATAGCCTTATTTATATTTCATTATATTTCAGGGAAGAGTAAGAAAGGCAAAAGGATGATACAGAGTCTTGTAAACTTGTGTTTAATCCATAATCCCTCCCAGTATATTAAATATCCTCTCTTCAGTAAATAATGTTTTAATTTCAGTAAATAACGTTTTTAATTTCAGTAATAAGATAATCTTATTTATATTTCAGGGAAGGGCAAGAAAGGCAAAAAAGATGATACAGAATCGGATGCATATGAAGACATTTCCTATGAAGACAGCGATGAAGAAGAAAAAGATGCAAAGATGAGGAAGAAGAAACGCAAAAAGAAGAAGAAAGATGAGAAATCTGGGAAAAAGAAAGGAAAAGGAAAGAAAGGAAAGACTAAGGAAACAACTGATGAGGAATCTGATGAAGATGATGAAAAAGATGTAAGATTCTTTATCTAATTAATTAATCAATATTAATGTAATTAATTGATATCAATGAGTCCCAAAGATTTAAAAAATTAATTATATGATATAAAAATCTCCCCGCATATAATAATTTGACTATATGTCAGATAATTTTGTTATCTTCTCACATGTGGAATAATTTTGATATCTCCTCTCAAGTTAGATAATTTTTTTTTACACTTGTGAGGTGATTTTGATATCTGCTCGTATATGAGTTAACTTCAATATCTCTCTACATGTGAGATATCCCGCATGACATAATTTTGATATCCTCTCACATTTAAGATATTTTTGATATCTTTCCACATGTGAGATAAAATCTATATCTTCTGTCAGGGTACCCCACATGGACGTAGGAATATAAAGCGTATCCTGGGAAAGAAGAAACTCAGCAAAAAGACAGTCAGAGCTGAAAAAGAAGAAGAGGAAAGACGTGAGCGTGTAAAGAAACAAAATGAAAAGGTACATTCTGAAGAAGATTCAAGAGTTTTTTTCATATACAAATGATACTTTGATAGGATGATGTATTTTATGTACATTTTTAATTTACATTTTCACATTGATATTTGACACCCTTCCTAACATTTTGTATGTTAAAGAGACAGAGAAGGAAAGTTAGAAATAATGATTTAAAAAAATATTTCAGATTTAAAAAAATATTTCAATGTTTTACACTCTCTTTTACTTCTTATCATCATACTATCAATTTCCGGGAAAACTGCTTATCAGTTCAAGTTCAACTTCAAATCTTTATTGATGCAAAAGCAGACTTTTGCAAAGATCTGATTAGGTTTGGGCTTGCTGGACAAAAAACAGAGTGGCCATTTTGCTCTACCGGAAGATGTGGCATATTGTTATAGTCTCCAACTATTTTTGTAGCTGGTGTTTGGCACTCAGCAGTTGGTATTCGTTGGTTGGAATCTGTAACAGTATTCAGTGTTGTAACAAATGGCAGGTTGTGACATTTCACATGTTGATGCCTTGTTTTTAAATATTGTATATATTCATTGTGTTGTTTTAACAGTTTAAGAAAAAGACGGTGATTGACCCAAAGTCACCCACAAAATGCCCAATTACAACCAAACTTGTGCTGGAGTCACATAGCAAAACAAATAGGTCGATCATCAAGGTGAACTCTAATCTCATCACCAAGCTGAAACCCCACCAGGTTGAAGGTAAGTGTCTTACCACAGATAAACCTGTCTAAGTTGAACACCTTTGGTTCCTCTAGTGTTCAACTTGGGAGGTGTTCCACTTATAGAGGGTCACTTAACATTAAGTCCGTTGGTCTTGTAACTCCTGAAAGTGAAAGTGTTTCACTTACAGAGGTGTTCCACTTCGCAGGTTTCACTGTATAATCTTTTTATCAATCAAATTGTTGCAATTCTTTCCTCTGTCATTCCTCTTAATTTTAGTCCGAGGTGTAATTCTTTCCTCTGTAATTCCAATCAAACGTTTTCCCAATCATAGCAAACAATTTCTCATTAAACGGCTTGTAAAATTCATGAAGTTTATCGTAGAATATGTCCTCCAGCTGTGGGTGAGGCCTCCCTTTGGTATATTTCATCACGTGAATAGAGCCGTCAAGTCTCACAAATTTAGTAAAGAGTTGTTTTGTGTTGTTATAAATGAACATACTGCGGGTGATCACCTTTGGCACCCCCAGGAAATCTTCTAATTGGTTGAGTTCGTCGACGGGGTCTTTTATGAAGTTTTCTGCATAAACAATGTGGACCTGTAATCGTAAAATACACTCATGTAAAGTACTAAGCTGTCACACTAGACTGTGGGGGCTCACCATTCGCCACTGTGAGCATTAATTTTTTAATTTTTGTAGTGTGAGGGGACGAGTTGCCCAAAAAATGTGTAGCTGTCCCAAAGTAACCATAAGGTGGCAAATGACTGTAGAGCCCACATGGCCTAATGTGACAGTATCATTAAGTTATATTAGTTCTTATAAAAAATTAGCTGATATACCAAGGAGGATTGGCAGCCATTATTCAAACTCGATATTTTGTTGCCTTCAGTGGAACAATTTAGTAAAAATATTTCTATAAGGTTCTCTTTGAACCAAGTATTTTGTTGAAAGATGGTCATTACGAATATTTTGGTAGTATTCAAGCTTCCTCAGCAGTCTAGTCTTCAAAATATGAGTAATATTGTTACCAAATTGGTGTACGCCAGGCAACATAGTATTGGGTTTGAATAACGGCTTCCAATCCTCCTTGCTGATATACTTAGAAATCACTAAATTGAAAAATTTACTGGTTGTTTTACAGAAATTATTCAGTTGAGTTTAGCAATTAACCAGCAATTGCAAAATGTATCAGGGGCTTCATTGGCTTCAGTTGTTTACTGTTTATTTGATTAGAAATTCTAATGAAAGGGTTTTGTATGGGGCTCCAAACAAATCTACTTAAGATCAGTCTATTTTTAAAGAAAAAAGTGGAGTTTCGTAAATTCCGGTTATTGAAATGGCTCTTTTTATACTAAATGGTGGGCAACACCAACAACAATTGCTCAATTTGATCAATATTATGCGTTACCATTTAACCCTCTCTATATACCTGCTCCTGAGGGAAGTATCTGTAGACTTCATTGAGAATTAACATATACACGCCATCTGTCAGAAATATGTCATTTGTTTTAACACTGCCATCTGGTTTAAGTACCATAGCTTCTAGGGCAGGCAAGGGTTCCATAAACTTTAACTTTTTGAGCGATTGAGACATTAGATACCTGAAAAAGAAAGGGGGTGTCTTATTGTTTAAGGTTTTTTGGCTAAATAACGTATACATGATGTACTTACTAAAATCTCTTGTATGAACTTATCATACCACGCTAACAGCATTGAGATTTTCAAGGAAAAGAAAAATGAAATCTTTGAAGTTAACCTTTTGGAAAAAATGAAAACACTTGCTTGGACACAAATTGTTTTAGAAATACTTGCCTGGATACAAGTTGTTCTAGAAATATTTTGCCTGGATATACAAGTTATTTTAGAAATACTTACTTCACTTTTTCTAAGTTTATATTTATATGTATACATGTATCTCCTTCATGTGAAGGGCAATACATATATACATACATACATAAACACTTGCCTGAATTCAAGTTGTTTTAGAATTATTTGGCTCGATACAAGTTGTTTATAGAAAAACTTGCCTGGATACAAGTTGTTCATAGAAATACTTGTCTGGATACAAGTTGCTCATAGAAATGCTTGCCTGGATACAAGTTGTTTTAGAATTACTTGGCTAGATACAAGTTGTTCATAGAAATACTTGCCTGGATGGATACAAGTTGTCTATAGAAAAACTTGCCCGGATACAAGTTGTTTTAGAATTACTTGGCTAGATACAAGTTGTTCATAGAAATACTTGCCTGGATACAAGTTATTTTAGAAATACTTGCCTGGATACAAGATGTTTTACAGGGTCACACAGCAAGGCAATAATCTTCATATCAGGTCTGAACTGGTGCATCTCTCTAAAACTCCCAGGAATCCGGAAAACACTTGGACATTTTGAAAATGTCACCTGTTCTGGTAGAGTGTATGGCATGTGCTCTTTGTACCTATTGTATATAGAGGTTAGGCAATGAGAGGGAAAGAATATGGATTTTATTCTAATTTTCTAAATTCTAATTTATTCAGTGTCAAGTAAATATTTGCAAAGGTTGATAATATTCTCCCAAATTAAAAAATCTAGATATATATATAATTAATTCTATGTCAAAAGATCAGGAATGAGTTCAAGTACTGAATTATTGCTAATATTTGATACAATACAGAATTTGAAGTAAAATTTATATTTTGAATGTATTTCTCATCTAAAAAATGTATTAATGAGATGAAATACTCAAATCATATGTCTACCATTGTAATGTATTGGATCCACCAAAGAAGCAGACTTCAGCTTGGTCTGTTGATTTTAACATTGGATTGAGCATCATGCTTGTCCTGAGTGCATCTGTACCACACTTTGGCATACCTAGAACACAGAAGTAGGTATTAATGTCTTAAAAGCATCATTCTTGGATTTTTGGCATAGTATAGGACATAGAAATTAGCACCTTTCTTGTCCTGAAAACATCATCAGAAATGAGCATCGTTCTTATCCTGGAAGCATCATATCTGCACATTTTGGTATATGAGGCAAGATATTTTTGTCAGATTATAAATTCAGATCAACTGAATTATTTAACAAGTATACCACACCAAATACAATATCTTCTGTATGCCAAAGATATGTAAAAAGTGCGGTTTCTTTGCTTAAAGAGCGGGACCAATGGGATTTATTTTTCAAGTGTAACAAAATAGCAACCATTCCCCCCACATACAAGATTTTTTGTCATCAAAATATCATCTTACAATATTTATTAAAAATATAATAAGCTTGATTGCTTACTTACCAATGATAATTGCGTTTGGATATCTTTGTTGTAACTGACTGATGTTTGAGTATGTGTTTTTGTATGTCTCACTCGGGCCAAGAGGTGTTAAAATGTGCTTTGTATTGTCTTCATTTATATCATTAGTTTTATGAGTATCACTTGATCCAATACTATCATTTGTATTCTCAGGATTTCCCTTTGCATTGTTTTCAACATCAGGGTTTTCCTGGTTTTCAACAACAGATGTGTCCTGATTATCATTTTCAACAAAAGTACTTTCCTTGTTCTGGTTTCCAACAACATGACTATCCTGGTTGTCATTTTCAACATCAGGGGCATCCTGGTCATACTCTGATTCCTCCTTTGTTAGATCATAAGCAACATTGGAAATATCTTTAGACTCAGTGTTAGTTGGATCATCATCAGTGTCATTACCTATTTCAATATCTTTGATATTTTCTATGTAATCTTTTACCAATTCATCCATTCCAGCGTTAGACTTTTGGATAACGCTATCTGGATCTGACCATGACTTTGAAAGCTGATCAAGAGAATCTTTCATTTGTTTTTGTAGCTTAGACTCAAGTATAATTAATGCCTCACAATGTTTTTCGAGTTTTGCTTTAGTTTTGATTATATCTTGCATTTTTTGACATTCAGTTATTAATCCTCTAGACCTGATTTGAACGTATAAACAAATGCAGATGAGAATCGTCAGCAAGCTTAATCCAAATTTGTTCTGTTTTAAAAATCGCATTTGTATTAAATGCATCATTATGGTATCTGTTAGCTTGGGTAAAACCTAGACACAGTTAGATATTCTCAATTGAAGTTTCTATATTATATTTCCTCTTACAGTATTAGTTTCATGATTGTTTCATGTAAGTTGCCATTTTTAAAATTTTATGGTAAGTTGCATGTACAGTATTGTCATAGGTTTGTTCTGAGTGCGTCTGTACTCTGTACGACACTTTGACCTACCAAGAACACCGAATATACAAAAATATACAATCTTGTTTTACATGCTCAAATTCTGTATTTGTGCTCTTGGAGTCTAGTTAGTAACATCTATGCTGTCATAACTTTTCCTTGGTCTTTGTAGAAGATAATAGTCACTAAATTTACCTTTACCTGGCTTATTCTGATGAGTATATTCACACAATCGGCCCTATTTTATTAGTATATTCATCCTAAATATATCTGAATGAAAAAATTCTTCAGGTTCAAATCCAGTGAAATCACCTAGATATGCAATAGATACATACAACTGCTGTACATGAGTCGATCTATTTTATGTTTTATTACATGAAGAAACAATACATGTCAATAATGTGTCTTTCCTGTTAAACCCAGGTGTACAATGTATGTACCTCTAAGCAATAATCTGTCAATAAATTGTACTTATACAATGACAAATGATTGTTTCTGTTTTGCAGCCATAAGCCTATATTGTGAAATGACAATGAAATAAAAATTAATTCAACATGATTTATTTGAGTTACATTTTTGTGAATGTGACATGAACTCATATATTGTTCCCTTTTATGGCAAAAATGCAATTTTGGTAAAAACAAGTTAAAAAATGGAAAAACTCGCGTTTCGCGTACATTTCTTTCCCATAAGAAAATTCTAATTTAGTACTTCAGTCATCAGATTATGCGCAGAACACATGGAGGCATGTCCGTGTGAAATTAAAATGTGGTCTGTATAAAAGACACTCTACTATACCTAACCCCTGTATTGTATTGTTAACTATATTTTTGAAAGTATCTTATGAACATCTAACAGTCATCCAATGAACCATTAATAAGGAACAGACAAATAAAAACAAATAACACAATCATTACTAATAAACCAAATGGGTTGCTCATGAACACCAAATGCAAGGTATAGTAGAGTGAAATAGCCACTTTATCTAATCCTCAATACCCTATTCTAGTCTAAGGGTTCTACCAATAGTAACTTAAACATAATGTGGTTTCCTAATGCATTTCTGTGTTTAATCGTCTAAAAAGCTATTAAAAATATGTTCTCTATCTCTATAATTTCAGCTGTGGAGTTTCTATGGGATTGTATAGTAGAGAATTTGAAGACAATGAGGTCGTCTACTGGCTCCGGTGCAATTCTGGCTCACTGCATGGGTCTTGGGAAGACTCTTTCGGTGAGTATATAGGGGTCTTAATGAGACTATAGTCTCCATTAGTAGCTGCTTAGAATCAGTTGCTCATCTTATAATGTACAACCCCTCCCATAAATTTAGCAACTGTAAGTCTCCATGGGATAATGTGTAAAAACTTCTTTGTTTGATTTTGAATCTTAATTTTCAAGTTCCTCAATCATGGGGGATCGGAACATGACTTTGCTGTTTCTAAATTTGCTTACATCATCAAGCTGTTTACATGTGGTCCAAAAGGGAATTTCGAGTTTGGCAAGCCAGACATTTTGTTGGGAGTGTATTTTTATTTATATAAAAGACAACTGGCTAGAAATATAGTCGACCATTTGTAATATTAATATCTAAAAAAACACAGATAGAAAAATAAAAAATATGTGTAATACTATTGAGAAATGATGAAGTATTAATTATTGCATTTTATATTCCAGAGTATAAGTCTAGTCCATACATTACTAAGTCATCAGAATCTTACTAAGATGAAGACATGTTTAGTTGTGTGCCCCCTTAATACGATACTCAATTGATACAACTATGTTTTATATTCCAGAGTATAAGTCTAGTCCATACATTACTAAGTCATCAGAATCTTACTAAGATGAAGACGTGTCTAGTTGTGTGCCCCCTTAATACGATACTCAACTGATACAAATATGTTTTATATTCCAGAGTATAAGTCTAGTCCATACATTACTAAGTCATCAGAATCTTACTAAGATGAAGACGTGTCTTGTTGTGTGCCCCCTTAATACGATACTCAACTGATACAAATATGTTTTATATTCCAGAGTATAAGTCTAGTCCATACATTACTAAGTCATCAGAATCTTACTAAGATGAAGACGTGTCTTGTTGTGTGCCCCCTTAATACGATACTCAATTGGGTGAACGAATGGGAGAAGTGGTTTGATGAGGAGGACCAACTGGATGTAAGTAAAACATATTAGTCATTAGAATATCAATGTTTTTATGTCAGCACTAGAAGTCTTGTTCAGTGGTTGGTATTTGGTTGGTTTGTTGGTCAGTGTTCAATGTTCGTTGTCTATAACAAATGGCAGGTCGTGTCATTTTGCATGTTAATGCCTTGTTTTGTTAATGTGATTTCATTATGTTTGAACCCCACCCTCATATAATGTAACATATGTTGTTGATTTTCGTTGTACTTGAAAATCAATATTTTAATTCCTTCCTTATTAGGAAATTAACTCTGTTCTACCGTTACTGTTGATAGATGGACACCGACCCTTTTACTCTATTATGTCCCCATTGCTATAGTCTCCAACATTTTTGTGGATGGTGGTTGGTGTTAGACATTCGGCATCGGTAACAAATGGCAGGTAGTGACATTTTGCATGTTAATGCCTTATTCTCTATTTATTTTATTCAGGTTTATGAGCTAGCCACTGCAAAAGACAACAAAGAACGAGGGATTAGGCTCCGCAAGTGGACAAAGAGTGGGGGTGTCATGGTTATGGGCTACTCATTGTTTAGGATATTAGCCATGTCTAACACGAAGAGTAAAGCCCTTAAGAAAACATTCGAAGAATCACTTATAAATCCAGGTATCGTTTATAAATGTGAATTTTAAATTTTAGTTTTGAGGAGAAAAATTGAATTAATAGATTGAAAGAGCCTTGTAGAATCCTTTTGAATGAAATGGAATAAGGAGAAACTTAATTTGACATGACTTTTGAATCTGTATATTTATGATGGCAGTAAGTTTTTGTATCAAAGATTCTAGTTCAAGCCAGATAATTAATTCTATACATTTTACTCCGCATGTTCAATATTTATGTTCAGATTTGTTGGTTTGTGACCAGGATTTATAAAAACTGAAGAATGCGGTATTTGTAGTTTCTCAACATATTTCACTTTATAGGTCCAGACTTGGTGGTTTGTGACGAGGGTCACATATTAAAGAATGAGTCCTCTGCAATATCACAGTGTATGAATAACATCAGGACTCGCAGGAGGATTGTCCTCACAGGAACACCTCTTCAGAATAACCTCATTGAATGTGAGTGTCCTCCTGTAAGAATCAACATGATCCTTATAATGGAGATTTTGAATAGGATAATTATATTGAACTATAATTTAATTTTTTTAACTTAATCTTTAGTTAAAATAACAATATTTTAAACACTAAAATAATTTTATTTAAACAATTATTGTTTTACTTTAAATGTTTTCATATTTAACTCTTTCTATCCTGTAGACCACTGCATGGTTAACTTCGTGAAGCCCAATCTACTTGGAACAACCAGAGAGTTCAAGAACAGATTTGTCAACCCAATCAGCAATGGACAATGTGTTGATTCGACACCCAGAGATCACAAGATTATGAAACGCCGTGCCCACGTTCTACATGAAATGTTGGTTGGATGTGTTCAGGTGAGCGTAGTTTCGCTTCAAAAGTTGTTGAGGCACACTTTCAATTTTCAGTTATGCATACAGGGGTTTCACTAGAATTTCTCACAACAGGCTAAATAAATGAAAACAACAGGCAAATTTTATGGAAATCATAAATTTAACTTGTAAATGTTGAAAAGTCCCTGCTGCTAATGAAACTCCTGGTATAGGAACCTTGTTCGAATTAAATGTCAGCTCAAAGAAGTGGTGACATCCACAAAGACGTGATGACATATTGTTATAGCTACCATTTTTGTCTCCACCACACAGAGGTGTCAGTTTTCTTCAAAACCACGACATGTATCACCTTCAAATTTTCAATAAAATCAACTCAGTACCTTCTTCTTGTTAAATACTGCATGTTAATATAAGAAATGAAATTGTGTTTTTAGAGGAGGGACTATTCTGCATTGACCAAGTTCCTACCCCCGAAACATGAGTATGTAATATCTGTGAGATTATCTGAAGCACAAATCAAATTATACGAGGAGTACCTTAGGATCAACTTGAACACAAATCCTGACGGCAAGATCATATCACACGGAGCAAGGTAAAATTGTTGTCAAATTATGAATACACTGTACCTTGAAGATGACATCATGTTTGTGTAACCAAACTGTTTTTATTTTATACTGTTATGGTCCCCAACCTTTTTGTGGACAGTGTTCAGAGGTTGGTGTTTGGCATTCCATTATTGGCGGTTGGTGTCTGTCATGTTAATGCTTTGTTGGTGTGTGTGCCAGTGTCAGCATTCAGAGTCTGTGACAAATTGTTTTACAATTGCAACCAGATGCTGCCATTCTGTTATTATTTTATTTTAGATTGTTCAGTGACTACCAAGAACTAATGAGAATATGGACTCATCCATGGGTGCTACAACTCAACGAAGTCATCAGAGAGAAAATCAGGGTAAGTTTCTTTAACCTCATAAAGTCACTTCTGGCATAGAATTCTAGATGTGGGGTAAATGGAGGAGAATTGCTTGTTGCCTCAATTACTAGTGATGTTTAGTGTGCACATGAAAAATACAATACTTGTATGGCAATCTAAACAATGAATTATAAGTAGAAATCATTTTCACTATTAATCTTGATATTTTAATATTCTAATAATGTTTTATAATCATTCAACAGTTTTGTCAAGATTGTTGAGATTTTGATTTTGGTTGGCATTTTCAAATTTAAAATTTGAAATTTCTAAAAGAAGAAAAAGTTGTGTAGTTAGGTAGTAGGTTAATGCTCTGGTGTTTACAATGTGATTCAGTCCTGAGTAGTTGCTTAATGATAACAGAGAACAAAATGTTGTAGGAAAAGAGAGAAGCAATTAGTTCATTTGGGCAATTACTAGAGTACAACTCAACTGCTATGTTTATAATTGATATTTTCCCCAAAGATTGGGTATCGATATGGCGAACTTTTTGAACACACGTTTCTCTTAAACCAGTCATCAAAATTTTTTGAAAATCTTACAAATTGTCAATTGAATGGCCATCTTTTGAATGGTAACAATAAAATTTGAAATAGATATACATACTCTCATCTATATTGTTTTGAAAAGCACATCAAACACTTGTTTTGTTCTTGGTATCATGTTTCCAGAGTGAAATGAAACATCTTTCCGAACCTCATTGGAACAAAACGACATAAACACAACATGTTTAGGTCTCTCAATATTGTAATTGTACAAAGGAAATTTTGGTTCATTTTAAAAAAGTATCTTGTTAATGAAATAAAAGTTTTTTTTGATTTTTATCTATTTTGGGGGGATTTTGTTTTAATTTTTTGAATACTTTTTTAAAATGAACCAAAAATTCCTTTGTATAACTTTAATATTGAGAGGTCCAAAAATATGTTATATATGGTATTTTGTTCCAACAAGGTTCGGAAAGACATTTTATTTCATTCTCAAGAATTGGTAGAAAGGAGCAAAAACAATTGCACTAAAAAAACAAAAAATGTTAACAAAAACAGTTATATCAAATATTTCTAAATAATTTTCGCATTAAATTGTTGTCAATCAGTCAACATTACATAAAATACCATAATTTTTTACAGAATGTTTTCAATGATTGGTTTAAAGTGATATGGCCTTCGTTTAAGGCATTTTTAGCAAAATCTATTGAATATCACACGAAGAGCAATGTCTTACCTTGCTACTGGGGTAACTTCAGCTCATATTACTCAAGGATAGCGGAGATTTCTCATATTGAAGTGGGTACATTGAATTTGATTTCACATCGTCCACTTCGAATTTTGCACTCAAGTTGATGACGTCACCAAAGTATGTTTGTTTACACATTTTCTTGCATTTCGTTCAGAGCAATATTGCATATAAAACTTGGGAGAAAATGTGACCTACTTTTGAAAAGAGTAATTTTCGTGTTCTGTACATAGTGATTACATAATGTTTTATTAATTATGTGTTCCTGATATAATAGTTATTCTTTTGCAAGAAAGAGATTCAGTGATTGTATAGAAAACCGTCAGAAATAAGTGGAACCTAGAATATGAAAAAATTCTCCTAACCTCTCAATAACGCAGATGCGAGTAGGTAGTTACCAGATTCACCACCAGATGGCTCGCTCGGGTCAGATAGCATGGCGGGTATAGTAGAAAGTTCCCTTTAACTTAAATTACATCTATTTGCGTGGTTCAATTTTCATATAACCCTTATGTATCTAATAGTTATGCAAATTAAAATATGTCCAGTAAAAGAAAATGTTATTTGTCCAATACAAGATAAGATAATTCACTTTTTGTGATTTTGTAACATGGGGTCTATGGGGAATCAACCCGAACAAGAAGTCACATTTTCAAAAAAATCAAATTTTCAAAGTTGATAGACAATTTTCGAAACCATATTTCTAGATGTACTTTTACATGCAAATTTCAAATATGACATCACTTTGACTGAATTTTGAATATTTAATGACGTAAATCAAGATTATTTCTACTCGCATCTAGTCTATTGGAATAGCTCACAGGTCATAGCCTCGTTCTGATTATTAGTCACATGACCTTTGACTAGGGAATCCCAAACAATGTGCAAGTGTGAGCAAATTTATTTCTGTTGAAAACGCTGAATTGTGAAGTCAAAACACAACCAAGGTCAGTAAAAACGATGTTTATATGTACCAATGTGCTTTGGGATTCAGTTTTTCTTATTCATATGTAGGTTGAACTAACATTTCATCCATTCCACATTACTTTAAGAGAAAAACATTGTTGAATTCAGTTCTCCATATCGATACCTATCCTTTCTTGTACTTAGAAAATAGAGGGGAATTTTCCATTCAGAACCTAAGTTGTTATGCTTACAAGGTTAGCATATGTGATTGAGTAGGAATCTCTTCATGCATTGGCATTGACCTACTGAACATTGGGGGGGAGGCAAATTAAAACTGATGTGTGTATCCATGGTAACAAAAATACGATACAAAGTTGCAGAAGCTCTTTTCTCATCCATTAAAGTTAAACGTTATCATGAATAAACAAAATAAAAATGAAAGCTATGTACAGAATCATTATATTTCCATATTAAATGTTATCTCATTTCCAAGTTTGTCAAACATATAACAAAATAAAAAAGTTCCATTTTAGAAGATTTACAAACTTTGATGCCAAAATATCAGGTGCATAAATTGATAAAACAATATAGCTTCAACAGGAGGAAGTTATTAAAATTTTGTCAATTCCTTAGTACTAATAGCACTTCAACATAGATATCACTTTAAGTTGTTTGTACATTGAAAGATGTCACCCTAGTTGGTTATAATATAAATGATCACTTTGAATTTCAGTATACACTGTATATTACTTTGAATTTCAAATTGATAGTTTATATTGATTTTCGAATTTTGTTATTAAAAATATGATTAAATTATTAAACAGCATTGATCAAAATAATCAGTATATATGAGATTTTGTATTTATTATTAAATATATGTCATTTGTATAATTCGATTAAAATTATAGCTAACCTTTATAATCAGAACTCCTAATTATGCTTATGATCCTGAACACTGTATTTGAAAAAGGATTAGAAACTATTAAACTTTCAGTGTTGGTAGAGACAGGGATTGGTTATTTAGGCATGATCAATGCTTTCATTGCTCATGACTTGTCAATTACTGCTGGACTGGCCAATCAAATACCAATCAAATATCGCCTCACCGTTATCGGTCGTTATCGGCCGCCGGCTGTTATCTAAACGCATCACCTGCGTTAGTTGTATTTCATCTACTTCTAGTTGCTTATTTTGATTTTTTAGGTTATGAATCTGATCTCCTTGACATTTAAGTTTTGTTTCCATTTTCTTATGTTGATCACTTAGGTTATGTATCTGGTGTCCTTGACATTGAATTTCTGCTTGCATTTTCTTCATACTAGCTCGATGGTCCTTGCAATATTTACAATCTAGATGGTTCTGTTCACCGGCTATATATGCTTCCACCATTTCTGCAAGATCAACTCTGCCTATAGTTGTACTTCTAAGAGCCTCAGCTAATAATGGCATTTTGTTTGGTTGTCTTTGCGCCCAGGTTGATAATATAATATATCCCCATCGTTCAGCATTATGGGGATTACTTCTTTTTATGTTGTTAATTTCGGTATTGCTGAGGCTTAGACAGATGCCAAGAGCATCATCCTTGTCACCTATCCTATTGCCTATCATGAGCAGAAATTGATCTGAAATGAAATTGAAGTTACTACTATATGGCTCTATATTTTAGTAAAGAATCTGTGAATGAGCTTAGGCCAGTTGGATTATTTATATTGGTATTTGATTTAATTATTAGACTCCAGATTTCATCTGGAGTCTATTGCTTTTGCCAGTTTTCTTATTATTATTAGACTCCAGATGTCAATCTGGAGTCTATTGTTTTTGCCAGTATTCTTCTTTATTCTTATTCTTATTCTTTTTATTCTTCTACCCACGTTTTCTCAGTAACTAGAAGACATTGAGTCAAGTCCTTTATACAGTCAAGTTAGGTTCAGTATCTAGTTTCTCGGAAATTGGGTCAATTTTTTATATAGGTCAAAGGTCAAGAACTAGGTCAAATCTTACATTTTCAATATTCTATCAATTATCTTCGTCATTATTTATCGAAACATCTTTTTCTTTTTTTCATCATGTAGCCAAGAAACAGCCCTTTCATAAGTGTGCCATCCGTTTTTTGATTACTCTTACCGATTTTGAGATATGGCGTCCAGAAAGTAGGTCACACCGAAACGTGCTCCAAATTCAATGTATGAGTTATGAATTAGGGGTAGAATTATGTCAAGAATCCGAATCTGCAAACCAAATTTCGATCTGACTTCCGGTTCGGAAGTTATGGCGTTTTAAAAACTCAAAAATCGCTAAATTTGGTGCCCATGTTAAGTCAATGGGAAAAAAGATTTTTTTGAAGTGAAAAATACGAAATATAGACTGAGTTCAGCTTCATATAATCAAAGCCTTTAAAAGAAGGGGACCTTAAAAGCCACATAGCTTCAAAATTTGGACACCAAAATGCCTAGGTCAAAATCTAGGTCAAA